CACAAGGGTTTGTCACTTTGCTGAAGGATATTTGTGACCAGCTATATCCAGGCCAGACTCTAAAGACTTTCCAAGGGGTAAACATGCTGCTGCCAGAGTACTGACTGGAAGTATTGCTGATATCATGTCTGCCATGTACCATCCTCTTAAAGTACTCTGTCCAACAATATCAGTCTCATAAGAAAGGTGTTTTAACGCTTATTCAAAATAGCAGAGAAACATGCATTATTGTACTCAGGAGTCAGGAGGGGACATTGACAGAGGATTACTCAAAAAGTACACAGTAAAAGTACTTCATAGTACTTGTGGGACTAGTACTGAGTCCAACAGTGTCAATCTCACGAAGAATTAATGGCAAAACAAATTGTTTTTCCCTCATCAAACTTAGCAGAAGTGGCTTGATTAGGTTCTCAGGAAGTGACTTTGACAGAGGATTTTTAAAAAAAACACACACACTAGAAGTACTTCAATGTATTGTGATAGTAGATATAAGAATACTGAGTCCAGCAGTCTCAATATCATTAAGAACTTATGGTAAAATTGTCTTTTTATCATTCATCAAAGATAGCATAAAACATGCATTATAGCCTACGGAAGGGACTCTGACAGAGGATTACTCACAAAGTACACAGTAAAGTACTTCCTTTTGAATATAGCAGGAAAGAAAATGAAGAGTGCAGAATCGCTGTGTGGTTTAAATCTCCTTAGTTACAATGTTGTCCATTTTAGACAAAGGCTTATTATATGTACAGCCTTAATAACATTCATTTTCTGGGCTCAATATGTGTCTTGGCTGTTTTCGTTGTGATCGCTAAATTCACCTTGTTCAAACACTGACCCAGATTGCTGGATCGCTAGAATCACCACTGTCATCAGGCTGGCAAGGGCTGTTCCATGCTCTGCTCAACCTCCCGGCGGGAGGCTCCCGCCTTCCCCAATGGACTCAGTAGCGCCCCCTGCTGCCGTGGAGCATGTGCCAGCCACGGCGGAATATTACTGCCAAAAGTCACGTGACTTTTGGCAGTAATATTCCGCCGTGAGAAGAAAACGTTTTGTAGTTGTAAAAACAAGTTTTGTACTTGTAAAAAAAAGTGTTGTAGTTGTAAAAAAAAGTTGTGTACTTGTAAAACCTATGCTGAATTTGTCTCTGAAACATGATTTATTAGAAAAATGTTATGTGTTTGTTTGATAGATACGTTTTTTCTTTGCAAAACTAAATGCATTAGTTTGTAGATGGTGTTTTGTATTTGCAAACCACATTGTGTTTGTTAGTGAATCATGAGGCATTTGTAAAACCTGTTTAGTTTGTTTGTGGAATTATGGCAGGAAATTAGCTCCATAGATAGAGTTCAGATAGTTCAAATATATTGGGACTATAGAGAGATATATATACTTCAGGTTTTTTTCTTCATCTGTAGATTTGATTTGATGTGTCGTTTGTACATTTTGATGGTGGAAAACACAGGTAAATGTGCCGTTCAGAATTTTTATAATAGACTATACAGCTATAAGCTTTAGGCGACCGGGTGTCGCCCCTTGCTACGGGAGACCCGGGTTCGAAACTCCTGTCAGACTCTCCATATTATATAGCAGAACAAATACATTTATACAAAAACATTTAAGAAACATTATAAGAACAATCATTGGGAACATTTAAGAACATTATACACATTCATTTCATCATATTAATCATATATCACACAATGGTGTGATGTGAAAAGCCATTGCTACGTTTTCAAACTTGTAAACACGCTAGTAGTCTGAGAGTTGTTTCATTAGCTTCGTATTGATTTGTAGATGTGATTTGATGTGTTTTTTTGTTAAATTTGATCGCCAAAACGATAGAGAAATGTATTTTTACTTTATAGTGGAGTCTATATATAATACTTTTGTTCAATAAGCTTCAGCGCCACTTGTGGGGCAATGGAATGGGAGTCGCTCCTTGTGTCCTTGGTGTGGTAGAGCGGGGTTCGACTCTCACCCTTGGCACTCAATCTTAAGTTCCCTTGAATTCATTTTTATATGTGGACACTAACTGTCCACAAGTCAATATGGGGGCCCATTACTGCATATGTAATAGTTATAAAAACTAATATTTTTATTTTGGAATTATTAATAATATTAAGAAGTGGGCTTCCATATTGAGATGTGGGACATCACCCCAATCCCCATAGGTATATCTGCAAGTGGGCTTCCATATTGAGATGTGGGATCTACACGTGGGCTTCCATATTGAGATGTGGGACTTCGCCACAATCCCCATAGGTATATCTGCAAGTGGCCGGGGTTCAGCACCACGGAGAGTGCCTCCCCTGAGATGTGGGATCTACAAGTGGGCTTCCATATTGAGATGTGGGACATCGCCCCAATCCCCATAGGTATTACTGCAAGTGGGCTTCCATATTGAGATGTGGGAGCCCTGAAGTGGGCTCTCATATTGACTTGTGGGGCCCCCAGGCAAGTGGGTATCGATATTGAGATGTGGGATCTACAAGTGGGCTTCCATATTGAGATGTGGGACATCGCCACAATCCCCATAGGTATATCTGCAAGTGGCCTGGGTTCAGCACCACGGAGAGCGCCTCCCCTGAGATGTGGGTTGACGGACACCCCCCCCCCCCCCCATAAGTACATCAATACATATACGCGAAAAGTGGGACCCCGTATTTGGTTGACGGACACCCCCCCACGTGACAAATATTTGGTAAGTGGAAACCCATATTGGGTAGAATACACCCCCCTCACAAGAACGGTGAGCAAAAATCCCAGAACCACACGGGGGGACCTAGTCAATGACCTGCAGAGAGCTGGGACCAAAGTAACAAAGGCTACCATCAGTAACACACTACGCAAATCCTACAGTGCCAGACGTGTCCCCCTGCTTAAGCCAGTACATGTCCAGGCCCGTCTGAAGTTTGCTAGAGAGCATTTAGATGATCCAGAAGAGGATTGGGAGAATGTCATATGGTCAGATGAAACCAAAATAGAACTTTTTGGTAAAAACTCAACTAGACGTGTTTGGAGGAGAAAGAATGCTGAGTTGCATCCAAAGAACACCTACTGTGAAACATGGGGGTGGAAACATCATGCTTTGGGGCTGTTTTTATGCAAAGGGACCAGGACCACTGATCCGTGTAAAGGAAAGAATGAATGGGGCCATGTATCGTGAGATTTTGAGTGACAACCTCCTTCCATCAGCAAGGGCATTGAAGATGAGATGTGGCTGGGTCTTTCAGCATGACAATGATCCCAAACACAACGTCCAGGCAACGAAGGAGTGGCTTCATAAGAAGCATTTCAAGGTCCTGGAGTGGCCTAGCCAGTCTCCAGATCTCAACCCCATAGAAAATCTTTGGAGGGAGTTGAAAGTCCATGTTGCCCAGCGACAGCCCCAAAACATCACTGCTCTAGAGGAGATCTGCATGGAGGAATGGGCCAAAATACCAGCAACAGTGTGTGAAAACCTTGTGAAGACTTACAGAAAATGTTTGACCTCTGTCATTGCCATCAAAGGGTATATAACAAAGTATTGAGATTAACTTTTGTTATTGACCAAATTTTTCCACCATAATGTGCAAATAAATTCTTTAAAAATCAGACAATGTGATTTTCTGGATTTTTTTCCTCATTCTGTCTCTCATAGTTAAGGTGTACCTAGGATGAAAATTACAGGCCTCTCTCAACTTTTTAAGTTGGAGAACTTGCATAATTGGTGGCTGACTAAATACTTTTTTGCACCACTGTATGTGTATGTCTAGAAAGGTTTGGCGCTAATCATGCAGACATGTAATGATGTTACGTATTGCGCCGAGGCTTCGGAGCGTGTGTCGAGTAATCCCCGAAGCTTTTTGTGAACCTTGTATCGAGGCTTGTATCGTTTTGGGCCAGTGACGTCATCGATGACAAACGAAGCCTCGCTGCCTGTCGATACCACGTGACTGCTTCAGGAAGCCATTCAGATCGGTTGAACCGTTGAACCACAACGCTCATAATACCCATGGATGTATAACAACAACCATATTACCCCTCCTGTACCCGGGTCCGGTGACACGATGGAATCAAGAGAGCTCAGACCCTCACTTATATAGAGGTCGGAACATGTCATAAGTATAAATAGATACAAGCATAAATAAATGTAGGAATAAAAAAATCAATAAAAACATGAATAAATACAGGAATACATATCTTGCAGTGTTTTCAGGGAGCTTTAGTGTGTGTGCTGTGGCTCAGCTGGAAAACAGTTGACTCATGACCGCAGGGTCCCTGGTTCAAAGACTGAACAATACGTATTTTTTGTTGTTTATAAAAGCTACAACTAAATTAGATAATGTAGTTAATAAATGTATTCTTTGATATGGTTTAGCCTTTCTCAGGCTACAACATGGTTACGTTTATGAATATTATTAAGGAATACAAATCCCTCTTTGCAATGTTTACCAGCATCCTTAGGCTTTTCAATCACAATCATTAAACTGGAATAAATACAATATTGTTAACATGAAAATATGATTTAATGTTCGTTGTTTAGAGTTATTCTAAGGCTTTACTCATTGGGAACTCGGTATGAGATAGAGCACACTGTTGAGATGTCCAATCTGCCTGTTTTACACACTTTGACCAACAGGGGGGTTTGTGTTCAAATGAAGCCCATGATGAAGCCTCATGAGATGAAGCCTTTTGCGAACCAATTGGCTGGAAAGCTTCAAAGCTTCATAAGGCTTAATCTCGCCATCACTAAAGACATATTTAAATATAATATATACGATTTGTAATGGGTGGGATTGATATAAAGTTGGCATGTCTGTAAAAGGGAGAAAAGTAAAAAAAAACATTATATGAATATTTAATGTGAATTTAAAACGATGGTCTCTACTAATCATAAATGCACAACAAGCTCCATGAAAAACTCCTCATTCCCAGAGTTTAATCTCAGATAAATGGTGTTTTCCTCTGTGCAGAGAGACAATCAGTGCTGATCAGTAGCAGCTGCTGGAGGTTTCCCTCCTTTAAAGCTGCCTGGTGCTCAGGCAACACTCTATTGGAAAACTGCAGAGATGGCAGCTGTTTGGATGCTCGTCTGTATGCTGACTGTTTGTCTGGCCAGAGGTATTTACCTGTTTGATAATTGTGTTGAAGATGGAGTAATGTTTGATTTAACAGCATGTTTCCTGTCCACAGTCTCTGGTTTTCCAGCTGGTGAATATAAGCTGCAGAGGAGACTGAGAGTTGAAAACATTTGATTTTATGCAGCGTTTCTTCTCTCTGTCTGATGCTAACCTTTAATTATACTGTGTCCTACAGATCTGTCTGCCAATGAGATCTCCTTAAAGAAAGCCTTTGCACCTTTCCAGTCGATGGAGTCCATGTTGGACCAAGATGCTCGAGAAGGTGAGCCCTAAAGACTAAAAGGTCAACAGTGTTAAAGTGGTGAAAATGATCTGAAAGCTGGGAAATATAAGATGAACTAAAGATATTTAAACCGTGTAGAAAAGGGTTTAAAACATTATGATATCTGTATGTCTTATACCAAGTTGACACCCAGCCCTTGAGGAACACTATGGGGTGATAATGCTTTAAACTGGTTTTAAAAACTTGAAATTGGGAAGATTTTTGTATTTGATGGCCATCCCATGATGTAGTGTGCATGTTGATGCCATGCGTTTGAGAAATGTCGTGCCAAATTGAATAACTTTGAGAAATGATCTTAAAAACGGTCCTCAATCTGGCAGTGGCTCAGTCAGTATGGGATTGGACTGTGAGCCGTAGGGTCGCCGGTTCAAGTCCCTAACCAGATCTAAGATGGAGTGTGGACTGATACTTGGAGAGGTCCTAGTTCACCTCCTGCCGGGGTGCCCTTGAGCAAGGCACCGGAAAACCCCCTTCCCCCCCCCTTACTCCCATTGCTCCCCGGGCGCTGTGCAATTGCTGCCCACTGCTCCTAGTACTAGACTCCTGGTGCTAGGAAGGGTTAAAAGCAGAGAACACATTTCACTGTGTGCTCTGCATGTGTGACGATTACAGAGGGTTTCATCCCTCCCAATATTATTAAATGCCACATTAAAAAAAGCAAGAATTAAAAGAAAACTACAGAACAATTCACGCTGTGATTTCAGTCGACGTATAACGTCACGTGATTTATTTTGGTTCTTATTTTGTTAATCAATCCTTCTTTCTTTCAGTACAACTGGAAACCAATGATGTGGAAGCTGATGCGTCTGGTCACCAGAATCCTGAACAAAAGCCCCAGAGCGTCAACGAGACAACAAATGTCCAGAACCAGGTCGTAACAAGGGACAACGGCACGGAGGGGGGAGTCCAGAACCGGGTCGTCATTAGGGGAAATTCCACTGCGGGTCATGACCTAAAATGGGTCATCATAGGAGGCGACTCCACAACTGAGGACGTCCAGAACCGGGTCGTCATTAGGGGAAACGCCACGGCGGGGGGCGTCCAGAACTTGGTCATCATTAAGGACAAAGCCAAGACGGGGGGCGTCCAGAACCTGATCGTCATTAGCGAACCCGCCACAGCAGAGGCTGTCCAGAACCGGATCGTCGTTAGGGGAGTGGCCAAGGAGGGGGACGTCCAAAAATGGGTCGTCATTGGGGTAGACTCCACGACTGGGGACGTCCAGAACCGGTTTGTCATTTGGGGCGAAGCAACGACTGGGGGTGTCCAGCAGAACCTGGTTCCCATGGACAATGGCACGACGGGGCGCGTCCAGCAGAACAACGGCACGCCGGGGGGCGTCCAGCAGAACAACGGCACGCCGGGGGAAGTCCAGCAGAACAACGGCACGACGGGGGGCGTCCAGCAGAACAACGGCACGACGGGGGGCGTCCAGCAGAACAACGGCACGACGGGGGGCGGCCAGCAGAACAGCGGCACGACGGGGGGCGTCCAGCAGAACAACGGCACGACGGGGGGCGTCCAGCAGAACAACGGCACGACGGGGGGCGTCCAGCAGAACCTGGTTCCCAGAGACAACGGCACGACGGGGGTCGTCCAGCAGAACAACGGCACGACGGGGGTCGTCCAGCAGAACAACGGCACGACGGGGGGCGTCCAGCAGAACAACGGCACGACGGGGGGCGTCCAGCAGAACAACGGCACGACGGGGGGACATCCAGCAGAACAACGGCACGACGGGGGGCGTCCAGCAGAAAAACGGCACGACGGGGTGCGTCCAGCATGAGCACAAAGGTGAGCTCTAAAGGCCAAAAAGACAACAGTATGTGTCGCATAAAAGTGGTGTAAAAGATCTGAAATCTGTGATATGTATGATTCATTTGAAACACAGCAATGTCAAGCTAATCTTGTGTATACGAGCTAAAACAAACCACTTGCATGTCTTATAAGTTAATACATCAATGTTTGGTTGCTGAATTCACTTCCAACATCGCTCATTTTTTTACAAAAACAGGATTTATTAAGTAACCAAGCCCTTGAGGAACTATTACAGAATTCATGCTGTGATTTCAGTCTAGAGAACATCATGTATTATCTTGACGTCCATCATTTATGACGCAAATATTTTTTCAGTACTCCTGGATACCCATAAAGTAGACGACCAGATGTTGAACGGGACGATGAGCGACGAGGAAAAGTTGAACGGGACGATGAGCGACGAGGAAAAGTTGAACGGGACGATGAGCGACGAGGAAAAGTTCAATGGGACGAGGAAAAGTAAAAGTTCAACGGGACGATGAGCGAGGAGATATTCAATACTGCATAGATTCATCTCGTATATTTCGACTGCCTTGGAGAGCTTGATATCGGAGACGTTATCTTAGCAATATAATAAAACGTGTATACATTTCTTAAATAACAGCGTGTCAATCCAATGTTTGTATTGCAATGCTTGGCTCTTATCATGCATACATCTTCCCTTAACAGTCCAAAAAAAGCTCATCTGGACGAGAACAGTCTTTAAAAAACTCTCATACTACATAGGATTAGCAGACATTGGTCATGTCAGTAAAAGGGAGAAGATTAAACGTGCAATATTTTGAGAAATGTTCATTAGAAAACCTTGCCCTCCTTCCAAATGCAGGCTTTATTGCAGGTTAGTCTGAAGTCCATATGCACTTCTATGTGCTGGACTATAACAAGATGGTAAAAAGGTGGACTCTAATAACAATTTAGCCTCAAAAGAAAAGTCAAGAATATAAACTTGGTATACCCAATTCAGGGTTTCACAATCTTCTAAACCTGTCACTCAAAATAGAAAGTTTATTTTCTGCATTTATTTTCAATCTGTATTTGCCAGATAGAAACGTACATTTCTAAAATAACCATATCCTGCTGACGACTGAAATCGGTACCGTTAAAAAATGCTTTATTAATAACAAATGTTCCAAACATGACGACACATTTGCGAGGACCTTTGAATGTCTTCTGAAGTCTCATAGTTTGTAAATCGAAGGTGTGATTCTTCCCATTCCTGTATTGGTCCAAGTAGCATTTTAAAAAAAGTTTTTTATTAAGTTTAATGTTATTTTAAAGATTCTTATTTTGAGAAACTTATAATATACAAAGTTTTAAGTAGTTCTTCAGAAATATTCTCGTCTGTATTTTGCAGAGATAAATCTCATATCTTAGAAATAACCATATCCTCCTGCAGGTTTTCTACTTAAAATCACATCCAATAAGTGGAATATGCCGTCTACTTTGACATAAATAATGTACAACTATTGCAATAAAAATTAACAAAGACTCGAGAATAAAAACATGGTTTTCCCATCAAGGATGCACAATCATTTAAACCTGTCTCTACAGCTTTAGGAAATGTTCTGTATTTGCCTTGTTTTTATAACCATATCCAGCTGCCTGGTTTCTACAAAGAAAACGGATCCAATTAGTGGAGAAAAACCCCTACAACTGTAAATCGGCACATTTCAAAATTTGCTTTATTAAGTTACATGTCATTTGTTAGACGCTTTTATCCAAAGCAACTTACATACATTCAGTACTGTGGACAATCCCCACATATTATTTTACTGATGGAAAAACTGTTTTCTTTAAAGTACTTCTGCTTTACAGCACTTTAAATGTTTATCCTGTGCACTATAAGTTACATTTTTGCACATTTTATTTTAAAAAATGTTGCAAGGAATAAGCAAATGGGCATGTTGTGTTTTACAGCAGTGTTTTAACAGGTATAAACAACCTCTGAACTTTTCGAATCGACTGTAAAGTATTACAGGAGGGAGTTGTTAATTTTATTTTATTTTGTATTGCATTTTTTCTTTTCTGAAGAGGAAGGATGTTTTTATGGAGCTTTTTCAGAGTTTTTACATAGTGTCAGATTGTATATATATATATATATATATTATATATATATATATGTATGTCTAGAAAGGTTTGGCCCTAATCATGCAGACATGTTTAAATATAATATATACGATTTGTAATGGGTGGGATTGATATAAAGTTGGCATGTCTGTAAAAGGGAGAAAAGTAAAAAAACAATTTATGAATATTTAATGTGAATTTAAAATGATGGTCTCTACTAATCATAAATGCACAACAAGCTCCATGAAAAACTCCTCATTCTCAGAGTTTAATCTCAGATAAATGGTGTTTTCCTCTGTGCAGAGAGACAATCAGTGCTGATCAGTAGCAGCTGCTGGAGGTTTCCCTCCTTTAAAGCTGGCTGGTGCTCAGGCAACACTCTCTTGGAAAACTGCAGAGATGGCAGCTGTTTGGATGCTCGTCTGTGTGCTGACTGTTTGTCTGGCCAGAGGTATTTACCTGTTTGATAATTGTGTTGAAGATGAAGGAATAATGTTTGATTTAATAGCATGTTTCCTGTCCACAGTCTCTGGTTTTCCAGCTGGTGAATATAAGCTGCAGAGGAGACTGAGAGTTGAAAACATTTGATTGTATGCAGTGTTTCTTCTCTCTGTCTGACACTAACCTTTAATTATACTGTGTCCTACAGATCTGTCTCCCAATGAGATCTCCTTAAAGAAAGCCTTTCAACTTTTCCAGTCGATGGAGTCCATGTTGGAGCGAGACGCTAGAGAAGGTGAGCCCTAAAGACTAAAAGGTCAACAGTATGTGCCGCATGAAAGTGGTGATCTGAAAACTAGGAAATGAGATGAACTCAAGATATTTAAACCGTGTAGTAAAGGGTTTAAAACATTATGATATCTGTATGTCTTATACCAAGTTAAGACACCCAGCCCTTGAGGAACACTATGGGGTGATAATGCTTTAAACTGGTTTTAAAGACTTGAAATTGGGAAGATTTTTGTATTTGATGGCCATCCCATGATGTATTGTGCATGTTGATGCCATCCGTTTGAGAAATGTCGTGCCAAATTGAACAACTTTGAGAATTGATCTTAAAAACGGTCTTCAATCGAACAAATGCCACATTAAAAAAAGCAAGAATTAAAAGAAAACTACAGAACAATTCACGCTGTGATTTCAGTCGACGTATAACATCACGTGATTTATTTTGGTTCTTATTTTGTTAATCTATCCTTCTTTCTTTCAGTACAACTGGAAACCAATGACGTGGAAGCTGATGCGTCTGGTCACCAGAATCCTGAACAAAAGCCCCAGAGCGTCAACGAGACAACAAATGTCCAGAACCAGGTCGTAACGAGGGACAACGGCACGGAGGGGGGCGTCCAGAACCGGGTCGTCATTAGGGGAAATTCCACTGCGGGTCATGACCTAAAATGGGTCATCATAGGAGGCGACTCCATAACTGAGGACGTCCAGAACCGGGTCGTCATTAGGGGAAACGCCACGGCGGGGAGCGTCCAGAACTTGGTCATCATTAAGGACAAAGCCAAGACGGGGGGCGTCCAGAACCTGATCGTCATTAGCGAAACCGCCACAGCAGAGGCTGTCCAGAAACGGGTCGTCGTTAGGGGAGTGGCCAAGGAGGGGGACGTCCAAAAAAGGGTCGTCATTTGGGTAGACTCCACGACTGGGGACCTCCAGAACCGGTTTGTCACTTGGGGCGAAGCAACGACTGGGGGTGTCCAGCAGAACCTGGTTCCCAGAGACAAAGGCACGAAGGGGGGCTTTCAGCAGAACAACGGTACGACGGGGGGAGTCCAGCAGAACAACGGTACGACGGGGGGAGTCCAGCAGAACAACGGCACGACGGGGGGCGTCCAGCAGAACAACGGCACGACGGGGGGCGTCCAGCAGAACAACGGCACGACGGGGGGCGTCCAGCAGAACAAACGGCACGACGGGGGGGCGTCCAGCAGAACAACGGCACGACGGGGGGCGTCCAGCAGAACCTTGTTCCCATGGACAACGGCACGACGGGGGGCGTCCAGCAGAACAACGGCACGACGGGGGGCGTCCAGCAGAACAACGGCACGACGGGGGGCGTCCAGCAGAACCTGGTTCCCAGAGACAACGGCACGACGGGGGGCGTCCAGCAGAACAACGGCACGACGGGGGGCGTCCAGCAGAACAACGGCACGAAAGGGGGCGTCCAGCAGAACCTTGTTCCCATGGACAACGGCACGACGGGGGGCGTCCAGCAGAACAACGGCACGACGGGGGGCGTCCAGCCGAACAACGGCACGACGGGGGGCGTCCAGCCGAACAACGGCACGACGGGGGGTGTCCAGCAGAACAACGGCACGACGGGGGGCGTCCAGCAGAACCTGGTTCGCAGAGACAACGGCACGAAGGGGGGCTTTCAGCAGAACACCGGCACGAAGGGGGGCGTCCAGCAGAACAACGGCACGACGGGGGGCGTCCAGCAGAACCTGGTTCCCAGAGACAACGGCACGACGGGGGGCGTCCAGCAGAACAACGGCACAACGGGGGGCGTCCAGCAGAACAACAGCACGACGGGGGGCGTCCATTATGAGCACAAAGGTGAGCTCTAAAGGCCAAAAAGACAACAGTATGTGTCGCATAAAAGTGGTGTAAAAGATCTGAAATCTGTGATATGTATGATTCATTTGAAACACAGCAATGTCAAGCTAATCGTGTGTATACGATCTAAAACAAACCACTTGCATGTCTTATAAGTTAATACATCAATGTTTGGTTTCTGAATTCACTTCCAACATCGCTCATTTTTTTACAAAAACAGGATTTATGAAGTAACCAAGCCCTTGAGGAACTATTACAGAATTCATGCTGTGATTTCAGTCTAGAGAACATCATGTATTATCTTGACGTCCATCATTTATGACGCAAATGTTTTTTCATTACTCCTGAATACCCATGAAGTAGACGACCAGATGTTGAACGGGACGAGGAAAAGTTGAACGGGACGATGAGCGACGAGGAAAAGTTCAATGGGACGATGAAAAGTAAAAGTTCAACGGGACGATGAGCGAGGAGATATTCAATACTGCATAGATTAATCTCGTATATTTCGACTGCCTTGGAGAGCTTGATATCGGAGACGTTATCTTAGCAATATAATAAAACGTGTATACATTTCTTAAATAACAGCGTGTCAATCCAATGTTTGTATTGCAATGCTTGGCTCTAATCATGCATACATCTTCCCTTAACAGTCCAATAAAAGCTCATCTGGACGAGAACAGTCTTTTAAAAAACTCTCATACTACATAGGATTAGCAGACATTGGTCATGTCAGTAAAAGGGAGAAGATTAAACGTGCAATATTTTGAGAAATGTTCATTAGAAAACCTTGCCCTCCTTCCAAATGCAGGCTTTATTGCAGGTTAGTCTGAAGTCCGTATGCACTTCTATGTGCTGGACTATAACAAGATGGTAAAAAGGTGGACTCTAATAACAATTTAGCCTCAAAAGAAAAATCAGGAATATAAACTTGGTATACCCAATTCAGGGTTTCACAATCTTCTAAACCTGTCACTCAAAATAGAAAGTTTCTTTTCTGCATTTATTTTCAATCTGTATTTGCCAGATAGAAACTTACATTTCTAAAATAACCATATCCTGCTGACGACTGAAATCGGCACCGTTAAAAAATGCTTTATTAATAACATAAATTTGCCAAACATGACGACACATTTGCGAGGACCTTTGAATGTTTTCTGAAGTCTCATAGTTTGTAAATCGAAGGTGTGTTTCTTCCCATTCCTGTATTGGTCCAAGTAGCATTTTAAAAACAGTTTTTTATTAAGTTTAATGTTATTTTAAAGATTCTAATTTTGAGAAACGTATAATATACAAAGTTTTAAGTAGTTGTTCAGAAATATTCTCGTCTGTATTTTCCAGAGATAAATCTCACATCTTAGAAATAACCATATCCTCCTGCAGGTTTTCTACTTAAAATCACATCCAATAAGTGGAATATGCCGTCTACTTTGACATAAATAATGTACAACTATTGCAATAAAAATTAACAAAGACTCGAGAATAAAAATATGGTTTTCCCATCAAGGATGCACAATCATTTAAACCTGTCTCTACAGCTTTAGGAAATGTTCTGTATTTGCCTTGTTTTTATAACCATATCCAGCTGCCTGGTTTCTACAAAGAAAACAGATCCAATTAGTGGAGAAAAACCCCTACAACTGGAAATCAGCACGATTGAAAATTGCTTTATTACGTTACATGTCATTTGTTAGACGCTTTTATCCAAAGCAACTTACATACATTCAGTACTGTGGACAATCCCCACATATTATTTTACTGATGGAAAAACTGTTTTATTTGAAGTACTTCTGCTTTACAGCACTTTAAATGTTTATCCTGTGCACTATAAATTATATTTTTGCACATTTTATTTAAAACAATGTTGCAAGGAATAAGCAAATGGGCATGTTGTGTTTTACAGCAGTGTGTTAACAGGTATTAACAACCTCTGAACTTTTCAAATCGACCAATCAGAATAAAGTATTACAGGAGAGAGTTGTTAATTTTATTTTATTTTGTATTGCATTTTTTCTTTTCTGAAGAGGAAGGAAGTTTTTATGGAGCTTTTTCAGAGTTTTTACATAGTGTCAGATTGTGTATATATATGTGTATATATTCATATATAATATATATGTATGTCTAGAAAGGTTTGGCCCTAATCATGCAGACATGTTTAAATATAATATATACGATTTGTAATGGGTGGGATTGATATAAAGTTGGCATGTCTGTAAAAGGGAGAAAAGTAAAAAAACAATATATGAATATTTAATGTGAATTTAAAATGATGGTCTCTACTAATCATTAATGCACAATAAGCTCCATGAAAAACTCCTCATTCTCAGAGTTTAATCTCAGATAAATGGTGTTTTCCTCTGTGCAGAGAGACAATCAGTGCTGATCAGTAGCAGCTGCTGGAGGTTTCCCTCCTTTAAAGCTGGCTGGTGCTCAGGCAACACTCTCTTGGAAAACTGCAGAGATGGCAGCTGTTTGGATGCTCGTCTGTGTGCTGACTGTTTGTCTGGCCAGAGGTATTTACCTGTTTGATAATTGTGTTGAAGATGAAGGAATAATGTTTGATTTAACAGCATGTTTCCTGTCCACAGTCTCTGGTTTTCCAGCTGGTGAATATAAGCTGCAGAGGAGACTGAGAGTTGAAACATTTTATTGTATGCAGTGATTCTTCTCTCTGTCTGACACTAACCTTTAATTGTACTGTGTCCTACAGATCTGTCTCCCAATGAGATCTCCTTAAAGAAAGCCTTTCAACTTTTCCAGTCGATGGAGTCCATGTTGGAGCGAGACGCTGGCCAAGGTGAGTCATGTCTTTTCTCTTTTACTGATCTTCATGGGATAAGATAAAGTCAACGGATGCTATATTAAAAACACTTTTGAGATACTTTGCCATTTTAAAAACAATTGTAATAGAGTACAGGTATAAAGGGGAAATATTGCCACCTAGCTTAATTTACCTCACAGTTTTAGTAACTTTAAAAACATTTTCAAAATGATTTATTTAAAATTAAACTACAACAGATTACCAAAAACTGTTTTGTTAAGGCTTGTATAACTTGATAACTTAAAGGGTAATTGAGCGGTTCAAAAAAGGTTGCCCATCTCTGTCACTTTAGACTTTTAGAGGAAGGTGCCGTGGTAATTGTGGTCTTTTATAATCTGTTGACTACAGACGTCACGATGAAATGGCCTTTTTTCATAAAAAAAAAAAAATACAGGATCAGAGTCTTGAAGCAAAAATTCATTGCATTTCTGTAAAGTTTTTAATGAAAGGTATTTGTTTCAGTTCAACTGGAGACCAACGAAGTTGAAGCTGAGGCGTCACTTCACCAGAAAGTGGTCCACGACTGGATCAACGAGATGGATAACGTTCGCCACGACGGAATCAACGAGACGGATAACGTTCGCCACGACGGGATCAACGAGACGGATAACGTTCGCCACGACGGGATCAACGAGACGAATAACGTTCGCCACGACGGGATCAACGAGACGGATAACGTTCGCCACGACTGGGTCAACGAGACGGATAACGTTCGCCACGACTGGGTCAACGAGACGGATAACGTTCGCCACGACGGGGTCAACGAGACGGCGATTATCGAGCTTTTATCTTTGCCATAAAATAAAACTTTCATTAATAAATCTGTTTTCTTTGCCAAATATCAAAACTTTATTTTTAGAGTGTCTTATACTATTATTAGTGTATTTCTGCTTTAAAATGTCCTTAATATTCAAATGTGATAGAACTGCTGGTAAAACATCAGTTTTTTTAATCCATTAGTCAAACTTGGATTCTTTTTGTTCAATAACATGTCATCTTTTAGACCAGTGGAAGGAACTTATAGAATCTGTATTTAGGGTTTTCTTTTACAAAATGTCCGTAGACCTAAATATTTAAAATGCAACGGGAAGAAATGCTCCTTCAAGACGGGAAGGATATAAATCATGATTTATTTATAAAATATCTGTTTCAGTGCAAACACTTGCAAAATATAATTTGGTCCCCAAGCAGTCATTACTCTTCTAAAGAGAAACTTCAGTATTTTTCCTGAACAGTGTCCCATGTCTATTGGGGAAACAGTTTTTGAAATGAGTCCAGTATTATGTAAGCAACAAAAAGCATAATAGGGGCTCTTCAGAGCAAAGATACCCTGAAATAAACATGTGAACGGTAACTCTCACTCAATACCGAACCAATTATACATTTGGGGTTGACAAATAATGAAGTTTCCCGTTTTAAAATACATACATTATATTAGAGTGGAGTTCATTATGTATAGCATCTAATAGAGAATTGTCTTTAATGTTGGCACGTCAGGAAACTTAGTTTTTCAGTGCTTTGGATTGATTGGAAGTTGAACGAAAACTAAAAGCTTTAACGGGTAAACTGCAGTACCTAATAGCTTTTATTACGTATCATTTAATGTAATTTCTGTCATTGATCCCAGACAGGACGGTATGAAATGTTGTCGTCTTCAGGTTATTTTCCAGCCACCTGTAGCATTTCCTCCACAGTCAGCAGTTTCTCGGGGTTTCCCGATCGCCGCCCCCCTCCGAACTTCCTCACTGTCAATTGTCTCCCACTCGGAGAAAGTCACTGGTTTCACTCCTGCAGGACACGAAATCAGAGTCAGTAACATGCATTTACTAAATTAACCCTGAGCCTCGGAATCGAATTAGATCTTAAATTGTGTTTTAAGGCATATAGCATATTTATTTATTTCTAAATATCAGTATATAGTGTGTAGCCCAAACACACAGAGTAAGACCTTTAAGGACTAAAATGTCCTTAAGTGCATAACATCTGACTTTATCCATCAGATTCTCTCATTTTTGCCCTATGGGATAAATACATGCTATGTTCCTGGTTCCCAAAAACATTGGACTCCTTTGTTTACTTCCAGAACATAGTCACATCACTACGAAACACTCACGCTCCTATTGGCTAGAGCTCCAACACATTGTACGTGTTAGGCTAAGGGGCAGGACAGCTCTATACACCTGAACATCA